GAGACTGGTCCCTCCTAATAACTTGTCCAAAGTCCATAAGATAAAGTCTCACCATCCTCACTTCTAAGGGATACTCTGGCAGTTCTTCTTCCAACACAGCTTTTTTTATTTTGTGGAAGTCTGTGGTATATTTCATCTTCTTTGCCCACATTATGAATCAAACGCATCAATGCCTCCTGGCTTTTCTTTATTCATTGCTACATTTCACAGGCATATGAAAGAATTGAAAATACCAGGACTCAGGCCAGGTGCGTTTTCGTTTCCAAGTCACAGCTTTGCTTTTAAACACTTGAAAAACATCTTTTGCAATTGAGTTGTCCTTGGTCATATTGTTTGATTTCCTGACTGTTGTTTCTATAGTCATTGATTGGGGATCCAAGTAATATAAAATTATTGACTTCAGTCTTTCCTCTGTTTATCATGATGCTGCTTCTTGGTCTAACTGTGAGGATTTGTGTTTCTTCGTGTGGAGGTATAGTGCATACTGACGGCTGTAGTCTTTGATCTTCATCAGTGAATGTTTGCAGTACTCTTTATTTCGATGTTTGGTCATCTTTGTATTGTGGATTGTTAATGAGTCCTCTTCCGATCCTGATGCCTGCCACGTGCGTAATATAGTCCAGCTTCTCAGAGTATTTGTTTGAATAAGTGTGGTGAAAAATACAACCCTGACACACACTTTTACTGATTTTAAACCAGGCAGTATTTCTTGGTTGTTTGAACAGCTGCCTCTTGGTCTATGTACAGGTTCTGCATGAGCACAAGTAGGTGTTCTGAAATTCCTCTCCTTAAAATGTTACATATAATTTGAATTTATATACTTGGTAAAATGCAGACAAATATCTTTCTAGTATTCTCTGCATTCTGCCAATACCTACCCAACATTAGCAATGATATAATTTACTTCATGTACTCTTCTGAATAAGGCTTGAATTTCTGATAACTCCATGTTGATGTACTCTTGCAATTGTTTTAAAACTGTCTTCATCAAACTTTGAAATGGGTGCGATATTAATAATATTGATGGATTATTTTCATATTCTGGTGCACCATCTGTCTTTGAAATGGGCACTCCAGTCGTTTGGCCAGGTAGCTGACTTCCAATTTGGTTGCTGAGACATCTCAATTGGTAGTCCATGAGTTGTTCCATTTATTTTCTTTAAACCTCATGCTTTTGTGTTTCTAGATATAAAAGAAATAAAATAATCTAAAGAGTCTCCAAGTTATTAAAATTATGATTCTGGGAGTTATACTCCTGGAATTCATTATCTTTATTTTAATGGCGATCATATTTTTATTATTTGATTGTCATTTTCCATGTTCTCTTAATCTTGGAACAATAGACTCCATGATTATAGCATTGTGGGGAAAAGCTCAATATTTTGTCAGCTGGACCAATGCCTAGGATTGGAATGTTCTAAGTACTTGGTGCTTGCCCACTTCCTTGTCCTTGAGCATCCCAATCTGCCCCCGTCCAGCTGTGACAGGCAGCATCGCAACACCTCCCTTTATCTTCTCTTCCTTTCCTTACAGACACGAGGAACCTGAGTGAATTGGAGACGGAAGGCTTCTTTGCTCTACATCAACGCCGAGGAGCCATCAAGCAGGCCAAAGTCCACCATGTCAAGTGTCATGAGTTCACTGCCACCTTCTTCCCACAACCCACTTTCTGCTCTGTTTGCCATGAGTTTGTCTGGTACAGTAATTTGACATTTCAAGCTTCAGGTTATGCATTTTGTTGCATGCTCTTCACCCGACAGACCTGACCCAACTCATTCCATGGGTATACGTATTGCAGGAGAGTGTTCCGGGACCACGCCTCCATTGGGAAAGCTTTAAAGGGATGTCCTTTGATCAAAGGCTTTTATCTTCTGACTCCTGTAGAATAGAAATGCTGGGAAAAGGTCAGAGAGCCTTGGTTTCTGATGGAAGGGGAGGCTGCTGGGGGTGAGAGGGTAGGAAGGGACGGCCGAGGGAAGCGTCATTATTGTCAATACAGTGTAACAGTATTCCACAGACCAACTTTACTGGTACTTCTCGATGCAATAGGAAGCACTTTCCCATGGGCTTCAATGTTCATGAGCCTCTTGGGCATCTTAACAGCCTTCAAACAGAGATTGGATTAAGCCTCAGTAAGCACATAGCAGAGGTTATGGGAGAGTGGGGACTAGAAATGACTCTCATTTCCAGTTCTTGGATTCCTCGCCTCTTGATGGGATGCTCTTCCCTTTGGGTTACGGCCGAGTTCGAAACGAGCATCAGCAGTTCACTCCTGCTATTGAGAGAGAAAGTCGACTATGGGAGCATTTTCATCAGGCTGTGTGTACTGGAGGCCTGGACACCCATTCCTTTCTAATAATGGGTGCTACTCAGGAACTGGGTGCAGATATCCTCAGACACTGAGGGAGAGGACAGAAACAAGCTCACAGCTGGCACTGTTCATCCCGAGTCAGCCTCAGGAGACCATGAGTTTTAAGGGGTGCTGCTGCTGCTGATGGTGTCAGGTACCCTCCAGTCAGCTCCAACCTGTAACAACCTGAAATAGAACAGAATAGACCCGTGTCTGCAGTTCTGCACCATGTTCGCGATGGTGGTTATGTGTGAGCCCGTTGGTGCAGCCACTGTGCCAATCCATCTGATCAAGGCCCTCCCACTGTTTCGCTGCCCCTCAGCTTGACCAAGCAGGGTGTCCTTTTGAAGGGAAGGGAATAGCAATCTGCTTCTAGGAGACCAGGCTTCCTTTTCTGCCGGGCATTTTTAATGTCTGTATATTTGTTTGGGAAACACTCACATGAAAAGGAAACCCCTGCTCCCCATTATCTAATTCTCCTCATTTTAACAAAGAAGCTTAGAATCAAAACCCCAGGCTAACACTCTTGCTAACCTATACCCTGGGGCTGCTGGTGTCACCATGCCCTGGGATGGTGGGAAGTTTCCAGATCTGCTCACCTTGTAAATGCCCCTGGTGTCGCTCTGTTTGTAACACCCAAGTGAATCACTGTGTGCTCTATTGCAGGGGTCTGAACAAGCAGGGTTACCAGTGCCGGCGTAAGTCAGAAGGCTTTTTATTGTATTACCGCTGCTCTTTTCGTTCTGCTGTTTCCTAAAACTGCACGTCTTAGGCTGTGTTTCTTTCTTCCCAGAATGCAACGCAGCAATCCACAAGAAGTGTATTGACAAAGTCATAGCTAAGTGCACAGGATCCGCTGTCAATAGTCGGGAAACCATGGTAGGTCCTTAAGATGTCTCTCGTTGTCTTAAATGTGATGGCTGTGCCTTACTGTTCGCTGATGGTCTTGACTCGTGGCTGAACTTGAATCCGTTTCCAGAGGAAAATCTCTCTCCTTGAAACCGTGTCTTCTTCAAGAACGAATGTTACACGTTTAATCCAAGCTTGGAATTAACTACAGAAAGCACAGTGCAGGATTTCAATAATGGTACTAATAATGGAAGCTTGGCTCTGAGATGAATTAGATGAAGGCTAACACTGCAGCTTCTCCAACTAGAAACCACCACCACGACCACCCCCTGAAGACAGCAACAACAACAACAACAAAGCAAGCATGTTGCCACCCAGTCTATTCAAACTCAGAACGTTCCTCTCGGAGAGAGCAGACCTGCCCGCCGAGGCTTCCATCACAGGGAGCGGACAAGGCCTCTTTGCTGTGCACACTTCTCAGATGAGTGGTGTGCTTTAAAATGTCTGCAGAGGGTATAGGCTTAACTAAATAAACTCTTTTATACTGCACAAAAATACCTGTGCTCTTACTAGGACCCAATTGTACCAGTAGTATGAACACACGCACACGCACGCACGCAGTGATGTTTGATTTAAAGAGCAACTAACACTTAGGAAAACTCTTCTTTTGAATTCCACATTGTCGCTGTCACTAGTATTCCTCTTGTCTCATCTCTCCTTGTCCCCCATAATTAAGTTGTTTGTTTCATTTCTGAAATACTGTAAGGATCAGTTTTGGGGTTATTGCAAAAGGTTTGCTATCAAATACTAGAGCTTGGCTATTTGAACCCACCCAGCAGCACGGTGGGGATTTGCTTCCATAAAGATGAAAAACCAGGAACCCCTGTGGGATCACGGGCCACCATGAGTCAGCATTGACTCAGTGGCAAGGGGTAGGCAGGAAAGTGTGATAGCCGAACTCAACGGGCTAGCCGGCTTTTCCGGGTCTCTCACGTGTTCTACCTTTGACAGATTTCCATCTTGCCATTTTCCTGTTGCTCTCTGAGTTCTAATAGTGATAAGATGCTCTCTCTCTCTCTCTCCCTTCTCTGCCATGTTTTTACCTTACACTGGTGTTTGCAGACTGGTTCCACTGGATAAAGAGAAACAGAACTTGTTAGAGAAATCAGGCTCTAATTCTGACTGCCAGGCTAAGAAATAGAGAAGTCGGTTCACTAAATTGCTGTGGGATGAAGGCAGGTGTCTTGTTGCCCTCTCCATGCTTAATTTCCCCACCTCTCAAATGAGGCTGTGTTTGAGGCTACTTCTAATGGGCTATTGTGTGAGGATTATATGAGCCATCAGATCCCTATGAGATAGCACGTGTGACACATCCGTGCACAGCACTGGGCAGGAACTGTTGCCGTCTCGGTTTGAGCATAATAGGTGTGAAAATGCTTTGAGAACTGCTCATACAAATAAAGCCATAGCAATAGTTCCTCTTGAGAAGGGAATCTTTAATGTCTTCCAAAGGTCACTGTATTAGTTCAGGGCTTAAGGAAGAAAGGAAATATTTATATTAAAGCAAGAAGGGAAGAACGCTGTTTGCTTAGCTTCCATTTAAATAAATAGCCCTAGTCCTCTCTTCCTAAAATCTTAACCCTTCTTTGCTAAGATCTGAGACTGCATCTGAGACCGGATTACATGACATGTGCATATTGCCAGTTGTCATTTAGCTGGAAGAGCTCCTTTGGACTGCCTTCTTTGGACCTGGGTCACAGGGGCATATTCACTGGGCTGCTAAATACAAGGTTGGCCATTCAAACCCACCAACTGCTCCGAGGGAGAAAGAAGAGGCTCCCTGAGCCTATAAAGATTTCTGTCTCAGAAACCCTCTATAAAGTCGCTGAGACCTAGAACGGACTCGATGGCAATGGGTCTGGTGTGGTCGTCATGCTTGACAAACAACATCCAGACCTCCATACAGGGCCGCTATGAGTTAAGAATTGGCTCAAATAGGCAAAGGCATTGGGCAAAGGTAATGGGTGTATCACTTGGAAAGCAAACATTATTGTCGAAGATATAGCCGGTTCCAGGGACTGACTTATTTTAAATGCTTGTTATTCAGACGACGGTTGCCATTCTTCAAGTCTCTAAATGGTGTGTCCTTCAAGCCCAAAGTCAGCATTTGTCTGAACCCCCGGTCCCTCCTTTTGAAAAGGACCTTGTCACAGATGTCCAAGGGTCTGAGAACAACTGGAAGAAAGTGTTGACCATGGGTGTTTAGGGCACTTGGAATGCTAACCTTGGAGGACAGCCTTTGTTTAATCCATCTGTCGGAACATCAGTGGCAACCAGAATATATTTTAAAACATAAAGGAGTCTGCAGAGTGCTTCTCACTGGGTCTATTTCGATTTTGAAAATGAATTCCAGATAATTTTCTGGTAGGCAACCAAGCCTCCGTCCTGAATGCTTTGTGATCTGTGTTGATCTGATCATGTTTTGTCCCCAATTTATGTAATGAAAAGAAAATGCACATACCATTTAAAAGAGAGAGAGAGAGAAATCTTGTTATGCTAATGTGTCTGCTAAGCCATCCAGGCAGGGAACTCAGGGCCACATTGAACAATCACATTGTCCCTTTCTTTCAGTTCCACAAGGAGCGGTTCAAAATCGACATGCCGCATCGATTTAAAGTCTACAATTACAAGAGCCCAACGTTCTGTGAGCACTGTGGGACCCTGTTGTGGGGACTGGCGAGGCAAGGGCTGAAGTGTGACGGTGAGTCTGCGCAGTGTGACGAGGCCACTGGCCCCATGGCGGAGTCATGTCTGGGGAGGAAATTCACAACCTCACTGAGGGCTCAGGGAGAAGATTGCAGGGTATCTTCAACCAGCCCAGCCATCCCCCGTCACCTTGAGGGAGCTCTTCCTGGACCAGCAAGCATTCACTCTTCTTTTCCTCCCACCTCACAGTACCCTCATACTCTCTCTCTCCTTTTAGAAAAGTGCACACAAGTTCAGGTTAAAGAGGTCAAGTCTCCTGGCCCATTGCCTCTCGGTGATACCATCGCCCTGGGGGTAGGGGGGAAAAACACAAGACAGCATTTCTCCTGGGACCCGGCTCCTTGGCCAGGAATCCCAGTTCACTCTGCCCAGAGCTGCTGTCTCCTGTTTGCTCTAGGCCTGCCCTCTCACCATACTGGCACATCTGGCTGGCCTGTGTCCTTGCTGTGCTCCATTGCACGAAAGACAAATCCTAGGTGTTTTGTTTCTGAGTCCAACCAAACAACAAGCCCTGCACAGTGACTTGACTGCTGGTCCCACGCAAAGCAGCTACTCCTGTGGTTTCATGTTGAGAACCCATCCCAGACAGCACATCCCAGACTCGGGGTCCAGGCAATGGCACGGTCCAGCTCAGCAAGCTGTTCTCCTCCTCTGTTCTTTCCTCTGTGGCCCAGGGTTAGAGCAGCACCCCTGCCTGCCTTTCCTCACTGGTGAACTGATTCAGAAAAGAGAAAGGTGCCCTGGATATAAAACTCCGTTGCTAAGGCAACTTTTGAAACCGGGATGCTGTAAAGCCAGGTCTCTGGCCTAGGGAGGGGAAAAGCCAAAGGAGAAGGGATCTGACAAAGTCCCCGTGTGCTTGGATTAGGGAGCCAGGGCAGGGATGGGGTCAGGATAGCATATTCATAAAAAGAGGGCATCTCCCTGCTGCAAAAACCTTTTAATAAAAAACAGTTAGAATGAACCCTACGTCATTTTCTTGTCTCTTTGAGGCCCTCTTTGAGTTTGTCTCTGACAATGATTATATGTCTTATCCTTAAAGTGATAACTTGGGCTGATTTAGGTGGAGGATTATTTTATATTTTAAGCTGTCTCCTCTCCCTCATCCCAACTGCTTTCACACCTCTGGTGTTGCCTGGAGCCGCATCTTAATGGAAGCTGAAAGGGTTAGGTTTTGAAATCATTCCCTAAAGCGAGAATCACAGACCATCCAAATTGACCTTGACAGTTCCTTCGTTGCCCGCAAATACAGCTTCAGCTTTTTTTCTCTTTTCATCTGTTCACGAGCATCAGGCACGTGACTGGGCAAGGATAGGAATCGCTGAGTGACACAATAAGTTAACAGCTGGCAGTGCAGATCCACCTGGGACCACCTCAGAAGAAAAATGTGGTAATCTACGTCCAAAACAACTCAGTCCTTGAAAACCCTCCCGTTCATTCTGAACCCATCTGTCCTGACACATAAGTCGGAGTTGATGTACAACTGTTTTGGTTTGGGTCTTTATTATACCGTATGCAATAAAGAGCTCAGAGTCTGAATCGAATTTCAGAGTTTGTATACAAGGAAAGGGAAACATCAGTCATCGAAGTCTCCTCCCCTCTGCCTGTCTGATTCTTCATGGTTTCTCTTCCCGAGAGCCCCGACTCCCACTCGCTGAGGTCTGACTCTGCCTATTTACAGCTTAGAACTTCCACAGGGTTCCACAGCTCACGGGCCCTGCTGGGTTCTATTCTATTTTTGTTAACATTCTCCCTTTCCCATTCCATTCCCTTTTCTTCCACCACCTTCATTTCAAGTCTCTTCCTCCCTTTTTCTTGTGTCCCCTGTTCCTCCCCTGTTGTCCCTCTCCTTTTCCTTCCCCAGCTCGCTAGTGGGTCTCGCCCCCTGCTTCCTCCCCGCCAGCTCTGTTCACACCTAGATGCCTTTGCCCGCATCTCTTGTTCCCTATCCTTGCGTCCCTTCTGCTCCTCCCTCTTTGCCCCCCTCTCTTTTTGAATCTTGCCCTCTCCTAAACCTTCTTCTGATGTAGGGGCCCCTCCAGTCCCCACACTGCCTTCCCTCCTCCTTAGAATCCCTATGAAAATAGTCATCGAAAGGGACCTTTTACATTCAAGGAGATCATGCAGCCACCTGATAGGTTAGTAACAAAGACCTAAGCGCTCAGCTGCTTAGCACAAAGGTTGAAGTGATCTTCTTCCAGAAAAATTACAGCCCAGAAAAAGCCCTATAGGCTGTCACATGGGGCCTCGGCAAGTCAGAATTTTCTCAAATGCACCCAACCACAACAAGAAGGCATTAACTATCATGGTGGCGCTCCCCCACAACGGAGGGTCAGTGACAAGCCCAGGGCTGGCTACCATTGTAAGGAGCAAAGAGCGATCTCTGCTACACGAATCCTTTATTCTCTGAAAGGTTTTCCTTGTTTGTTTGCTTTTTCTGCCCCCTTGTGACTACTAACCACTAGTGGACTTTGGTCTCTTGGCCTTTGCCTATTTTCCAAAAACTAAACTCACTGTCCTTGACTCAATACTGAATCACAGTGACCCTGCAGGAAAGGGTAGAACTACCCATGTGGGTTTCTGAGGCTGGAACTCTTTATGGGAGTATAAAGCTTCATCTTTCTCCCACGGAGTGGCTGGTGGTTTCGAACTGCTTGCAGTTAGCAACCCAATGGGTCATCACTACACTACCAGGGCTCCTTTGCCTCTTTTAGATAGCTTGTTAAGTGGAATCAGACAGTATTTGTCCTTTTCTGTCTGGCTTATTCCACAAAGCATAATGTCTTCCAAGTTCCTCCAAGTATAGCCCGTATAAGATATTTGTTAGGTTTCTGGAGTCGGTAATACCTCTGTTCTTGGCTTCACATGATGAAAGAATTCATGCCTGTTTTGTAATCCAAGTGGGTTTTTATGAAGGACTGGACAAGTTTCAGGTTTTACAGTCTCAAAGAGGTTCACAACTGGACCCGAACAACCCCATGGAAAAGAACACCCACACATGTGGATCTCGGGTGGGGGGAGGGGGGGTCCTGGAGGCCAGAAGCCCAAAAACCCTAGAGGCTGAGAGCATGTGGCTAAGAGGCTATGGGCCCCAAGTAGGCCTAGAGTGGGGTTTGTGAGTCCACTCAGGGGAGAGAGAGCCTCCCCCTCTACCTGCCTCTGACCAGGAGCAGAGTAAGAGCTTCCCAGAGCATGCTCCCTGCCTTTATTCTAGCCCACCCCCTGGCTGGGGGAAGGCATGGTTGATGGTTGCTAGACCCCATTGGCTGAGTTAGGCCCACCTGTGTGATGTCATGAGCCTGGGCCTAGTTTGGCTTGCCCAGGTGTACCTTCCTGTCTTGGGGGCTTGAGTGTTAGCATACTCTGTTTGGGGTCTTCATAGGTGTCTAATAGGTTGCCTGATTTCTTTCCAACCTCCTCTGTGGGGTCCTTTTCAGGCATAGGAGAGACAACCTCTTGTCCCTAAGCTAGCTACCTAACATTTTAATTTCTTTATGACCAAATAATATTTCATAATATGAACTTGTCACGTTTTGTTGAGCCATTTATCCATTAATGGGCACGTTTGGCTATTGTGCATTGTTTAAAATTCTTAAACGTTATTATGCACTATCTGAGAAAGAGTGATCATCTTAAAATTAAAAGGGAAGGCTGTTAAAATTTCAACTAAATATTTTAATACAAAATTCAGTGTAAGAAGTAATGAACATGAAAGAGGTTTATTGAGCACCTACTTGATGCTTAGGACTAAGCTAAGACTTTTGTACACAAATGTGCTAATATGCATATACTACTATAACTGTGAGAGAAAGAGGAGCCTTCTCCTGTAAAGAGTTGGAGATCCACAGGGCCCTGCCCTATAGGGTCACGATGGGTCAGAATTGAATCCCTGGCAGTGAGTTTATTATGATGATGATGATAACTGTATAATTATCTATAGCTTTTGCTGCCTAATTTCATGATAAGAATTGTTACTTGTCTATTTTTGTTGAATCAAACCGTACTTGAGATCACAGTTCAGTCAGTGAGAGTTTGGAAATCGTGTCAGATCTCTTAGAACGTCTGTCTCTCTCTATGTAAGGATCAGATGAACACTGTAAATGAGTTAGTTCTTAAAATAACAAACAACCCACATGTCATCAAGTTTATTCCAAGGTGTGGCACCCCTATATCTGTTGGTGTAGACTATGCTCCATAGGATTTTTTTTGGGTGGGTGGGGGTTGTAAGTAAATCACCAGCCCTTTCTTCCAAGTCACCTCAGGGTAGACTGGACCTCTAACCTTTTTTTTTCCCCCAAGTTGTCCAATACATTGTGTGCCCCATCCAGAAACAACATTAGTCTTACAGCTGGCTGTTTTCAGGACTAATGAGTCAGAATCCTCCCCACTCTGGGCTGTTACGTTTTCCAGCTAGAAGCCCATTGTTTAGCTCAGGGCACTGGATTTGTAATCTGAAGCACAGAGTCCATGACCAGCTCAAGGGCACACGCGTCGTGTGCTAGCTGTAACCAGCCCTGCTCCCTGCGACGCCTGTGCTCTGACCTCAATAACTTGCTCCTCCCAGGTATTTCCCACTCCACTTCCTGTTCTTTTTTTACCTCCTTTGGTGAAATCTAGAGCAATAACTTATATGATTTAAAAAGATGAAAGAAAACTTCGGTTCTGTTATGAGCTTCTTCCAACAATTAAACGTGAATGTAATTGTGAATTTAAGCCATAATCTCTAATGTGCAGCAGATAGCTCCATCTCTATGATCTTTACCCTCTTAATTAGGACTCTAGTGGCCACTCCTGCCAGGAGCAAGCCCATCTAATCACAGTTGGGAGCCCCCGCCCTTCTGAAGGGGCCGGGAGGCCCGGTGGTATAGTGGTTAGCAGTTGGCTTTCCATCTAAAAGGTCCACAGTTTCAAACCATCAGGTGCTCCGAGGGAGAAAAATGGGTATGAGCATGCTCTGTTTGAGGTCTTTATAGGTTTCTAAATGGCTTGCCTGATTTCTTTCCAACCTCCTCTGTGGGGTCCTTTTCAGGCTTATGGGACTCTGCTCCCATAAAGAGTACTCCTTGCTAGCCCACTGATCTTATCAGGAGGTTGTATCTTTAAGGTGGGACAACTCCCCCTACTGCTTTCTTTTTGTGTATTTTTTGAGGAAGGAGGAGGAAACGAACCCAGTAAGATCATGGATGACCTGTCTCAACTATCAGCTGAAAACAGCCCTGCCTAGAGCAGTAAAGTGAACCGCTACAGAAAACGAGTGGCGCCACTGGTCACATGCGAGGGCGAGCGGTTACGATTTCTAGGCTTGTTCATGTTTCTGGTTCCAGATGAAGCCTGTTGTTCATGATAACAGTTCTCATGGCTTCGCTTTCCTTTTATATGAACTCCAATGACATTTGTTCCAGATGTGTTTCCTTCCAATTAAATATTTGAATAAATTTAGGGGTGGGGGTTGGGAAAGTTACAGTCTCAGAAACCCACAAGGGCAGTTTTTCCCTGTCCTATAGGGTCGCCATGAGTCAGAATTGATAGTGTGGAGCGAGACCCTTCCTGGAAACAGCCTTGTGTGTGCAACAGTGACATGCTCATCTGCTCACTGAAAGAATTGCAGTTCAAATCTCCCCTGTGACTCCATGGGAGAAAGACCTGGTGAAGCTCTCTCATAAAGATTATAGACAAGGAAACCTTTGGGAGAGTTATACTCCGTCATGTGAGGTCACTAGGAGTCAGAACCAACCACAACAACAACAACAACTCCTGTCACGACACCGATTTTGAGAGTCACATATACGGGTGCCAGAAAACTGGATCAAAACCTCCAACACCAGTTTTCAGGTGGCCACTACATGGGGAACCAGCCTCCCCATCATCAGATGGGTCCAAGGGGCAGTTGTGTAATTGAGGGGTAAATTAAAGAGACATCAGACAAGAGAGACAGCATGCAAAAGCTCACCTCCTCAGTCATGACTTCAGGAGCACGGTCCGAGCAGAGAGAGGGAGTAATGTAATCTCATAAGCTATGTCATCTCAGGCACGCAGGCCACGGTAAGCACATAGGTAACAGGAGGAGATTGTAGTAGGGGCACACATGTGTCTAGTTTCTTCCCCTTGTGAGGTCTAATGAGCGATCTTAGCTTTCTGCCCACTCGAGTCCCCGAGGCAGAACCAGTATAGCCTGACTTCTCATTGCCAAAGAGGAAGGACACAAGGGAAAAAAACCATCACTTAGAGAAAAAATAGCACAGCAAACGTTTCTCCACAACTAGAAAATGTAATCAATATTCCGGAGAGGTTATTTTGTTTGTTTCTAAGCAAGTCTTCATCACTGATAACACCCTTAAGGCATGGTGTCCCATCTCTGCAGAACAATCCCCACTAGCCTTTCTTCCTGTCGCTGTTTCATTCAACATCTTCTCTATCACACTGTTTGAAGGGCATTTGCTAGTAAGAGGAAAGAGATGCATGGACCTTAGGACAGTTAAGACAAGAGGGTCCTGGGGATAGTGACAAAATGAAGGGCAATAGGAGGAGATGAAAGTGGTGCTTTTTAGTCTTTCCAAGGGCTATTAGCACATTGAGAGAAACCATACCATGCCCAAACAAGCGTGGACTGCCAAAGGGTCTTTATTTACATATAAAACTACGTTATGAGATCCACAGGGAGTAAGGAGAAGAGTACACAGAGCTCTCTACTTAAATGTGCCTGCCTTTTCCAGTAATTCATTGTTCCACAAAAATGATTTTCTTCAATAGCCTCAAATAAATTTTAGAAATACTGATAGGATTCACTGGGCTTCAGGAGGTCACTGGGTCCCACCTATCTTCTCAACTGCTCTCTCAGGAGACTGCCATCAGCTGGCTCATTCTGACCATGCAGGGGTCATGCCTGTGCCCCCAACGTATCCCCACCCCTGAACACACACAAATGCACACAACCACCCTGAGTCCTCAATTTCACTTCTGATGTAGGCTGGTCATGCAGCGTCTGTTTGGAGGATCTGGAAGCTCCTTGAAGGCCGTTACTGAAAGGAAGCAGGCTGAGGTTTAGTGTACAGAGTGAAAGAAAAGCATCTTTCGATTCTAGCCTTTCAGGTTACTGCTAGAGAAAGCCAGGGCCACTCTTTCTCTTCTTCTCTGTCATCAGTGGTACAATCCAAACCCCTAGTGAGTCCAGACTCTCACTCCTACCAACAGGGCATGCTGGCTCTACCTCTAGAGAGAATCAGTTCTCGTGAACCTTGAGGACCGTGTGTGTGTGTGTGTGTGTGTGTGTGTGTGTGTGTGTGTTGCAGGGAAGAGACGGTGGATCACATAATGGCATCATAAAAGCACTGCCTTATTTTTCTTGTCTTCTGATGGGAAGATGGGGCTGGGGATTGTCCAGTTGATCCTTCTACACAATCAGAGGCCAAGACACTTGCTATTCTTGCTCACTGTGGTCCCTTCTTCCTTGTAGCATGTGGCATGAACGTGCATCACAAGTGCCAGACAAAGGTGGCCAACCTGTGTGGCATCAACCAGAAGCTAATGGCTGAAGCCCTGGCAATGATTGAGAGCACTCAACAGGTAGGAAAGACTTTTTGTTGACAAGGTCCTGGAAGTTCAACTCAAAAATAACCTCTTGAGTCTTTTTGCTCTTTGATCTTTCAAACAACATGAAATATGTTCTGAGAAATAGTCCTGCCTCCTGATTTTCATAGTCATACCTATAACCCTATTTGAGATATCTGTTTCTTTAGCGCATTTGTTCTGTATTTCCTTAAAATGTCTTACATTCTTCATGCAATAAGCAAGAACAAAAACAAATGAACTGCAATTTTTGTGGATTTACTACAAGTTTTATACCTACTCGATCTGATAGCCTGGTGTGGGATACAGGGGTACTTATTTAATAGATTCCATTGTAGAATACTCTGAGAACAGTGAGGCTTGGTCCAGGGCAGCTTTTGTCTTGCTATTTTCTAACTTTGCATTTGCTGGATGGTGAATTTCCATAGTTATGGACCATCTCTCTTTGAGAATTGACATTGCCTAGGCGGTCTATTTTTCCCATTAACTGTACATTTTTATATGTGATGGAGTGTGGTGGGAAGCATGGGAGAATACAGTTAACTTTTAGAAAGGTGTGAAGCTGGTGAATATACTGGATGGGAAATTCCGAAAGTGTGCTGAAAGGAAAGAAGCTTCGGTTGTCGCCCACACTCAAGAATGTAAGGTGACGCTTGTCCCTATGAACAGCAAGCTGAACTCTACATCCGCAGTGGGGAGACTGACTGTTTGTTTGTGATCTAGGCTCGCTGCTTACGAGATACTGAGCATATCTGCAGAGAAGGTCCAGTTGAAATTGGTCTCCCGCGTTCCACGAAAGATGAAACAAAGCTGCCATACTTACCAGCACCAGGGAAAAAAGGTAGTTGTCCGGATCCATGTCAGGAATTAATCTTTCTTAACTTTAATCTGAGTTCTCTTGATTTAAAATCCCAGGTGTCCCTGATCTGATGGGTGATACCGCACTATTTAAGAATGTCAGGCCCTGCCACCAGTGAAGAAGCTCATACTTCATAGAATTGAAAACAAAAACTACCCCTCATTAGGATACTTTTGTGATGGAAGAGGTCTGAAGGAACCAAGTTGAAAATTTTCTTGAGAATGTGATTTTCTATCACTGTTAAGTGGCTCTAAAGAAATGAGTCTATCATGTGATCAATGGTGGGGATATCATAGAAGATAGTCTTATTCTGCACCTTTGGGAATTTCTTTTGAAATTTAAGACTAGAAAGGATGAGGCCTTCAGGCCCCAAATCCATTTACATTTTATGACATTTTGGGGATTTATCTGGCCTACCCTCTGAAGGTCGTTTTTTGAAAGGGTATAACCACATGATGCTGGGTGCTGATCATTTCACATACATTTGAAAGCACTTATCTTCTTGGCTTTTTAAAGAAGACTATGAAAGAGATTCTAGAATAGTCCAATGATAATTAAAACGGTGCATGTCTAGACAACAGTTTGTTCTACTATGCATAGGGCTATACCATGAGTCAGAGTCAACGTAACAGCAGCTGATGAAAATCACAATATAAAAGGTTTGCACAACTCTTTGTGATGCCTTTGAGTCATTGAATTGTATGTCAAAACAGTGTGTGTGTGTGTGTGTGTGCACGTGCATGCACACACCTTGGTGGTATACCGGTTACGCACTGGCCTGCAATACAAATGGTCGATAGTTTGAAACTACCAGCAGCTAAGCAGCTCCAAGGGAGAAAGATGGGGTGTTCTACTCTGGTCAACAGTTACAGACTCCGAAATAAAGAGGATGCCATGAGTCTGCATGAATGGTGGTGATATAAATATATTTTTTATATATATATACACACACACATACACAGACTCGGAAATAAAGAGGATGCCATGAGTCTGCATGAATGGCGGTGATATAAATATATATGTTTATGTTTATCTCCCAGGGATTGCAAATAACGATCATGCTCTAAGAGGGTATGGACAAACCTAAACCCATTGTCATCTAGCTGCCTCTGACTCCTGGCACCCTTCAGCAGAGAGTACAACTGTCCCACGGGCTCCCAAGGCTATAATCTTTGTGGAAGTCTTTATGGGTCTTATAAGAGGACTAAGCACACAGGCCCTAATATGTTTTGCACTTCTGTTCTGGCTCAGAACAAGGAATAAATTGGCTTACAGGTTTTTGTAAAGGGCTTGGGGTAGATGGCGGGACTGTCTCCCAAAGAAAGCCTGCCTCCGAGCCGAGTGCAGTGGCGCGGGCTCTCACGGAAGGCTGGTGACTGATGCCATCAGCTCTTTCCCCTGGCGTCGCAGCAGAAGGCATGGGGACTGATGTCACTGTGACTGGAGCCGCATACATCATGGAGAGGATCATTGTTTCCTCAAATTTGGTGAAAATTTCCAATTTGTCCATGATCTGACATTCGAAGGGCTCACTGGTTTTATGTATATGATTTTGTACTGAGTGGAATATGTTTCTTTTACATTTTTTTTTTCAAACTTGTGATGAACATACAGGAAGCAGAACATTTGCCATCATGTTCTCGACATTCGTCACATGTCCAGTTCAGGGGCGCTAATTTATGTTCTTCGTGCTGCTCCACCGTCACCTTTCTATCCCCCAGTTTTTCCAAATGAAATATGTTCCTAAGTTGAGATTTTCCCCAATCTATTGACTAAACAAGGGGGCTTCAAAAAATTCAGGAAAAAAAATGGAATTAAAAGATCATTAGATTTTTCCACGAACTTTTGATACCTTTTTGTATAAAGAGAGGAGCCCTGGTAGCATAGGGGTTATGCACTATGCTACTAACTGCAAGGTCAACAGTTCAAAACCACCAGCCACTCCAAAGAAGAAAGACAGGGCTTTATAGAGTTACAACCCCAGAACTTCAGGGGGCACGTATACCTTGTGCTATACGGTCGATGTGAGGTGACTCAGCGGCAGAGAGTTTGTTTTTTTTGTATAAAGAGACATAGTCCTTACCCCAAATACCAGGCGGGCCACAACAGGCAGGAGATGCAGCCTCCTGCTGCCAGCCCACTCACCTCCCCTACACACCCGGCAGGATCAACAGAGCCCCAGAAGGGGAGGTAGAAGAGTTAGCCTGTGATCTGGGGGTCTAGAATGGCCCTCCGTGACTCCGTGTTTCCTTGTAACCATTGGCTTGTCCTTTTCAGAGCCCCAAGGAATCTCCTGGGATTCTCCAATGGACGGGATGGATAAAATGTGCCTACTTCCAGAACCTGAACTGAGCACAGAAAGACCATCTCTACATATCAAGCTGCAAATTGAGGATTTTATATTGCACAAAATGTTGGGGAAAGGAAGCTTTGGCAAGGTATGATACCATGGTCGTGAATCCTACCCACCAAATTCCAGACATGGAAAACCCAAACGCCTGGTCCTTGTGTGGTGTGTGGAGAGTGCATTGCTGAGTCTTTTAGGAGAGGGTAGGGAGATGATGGCGTAGCTGGGACCCAGAGGACTGTGGGCCAACAGCGGCTTGTGTCCATAAAGACGCTCTACCTTGAAGGGGTTTCGTCTCAACCTTTCTGAGTGGAATAGCAAGGTGCCTCAGCTACTTCCTAATTCACTTTCCTCTTTCCCCCTCCCTTGCTACTTTTTCAAACCCTCAAGTGGTGGTTCACTTTGTAGATGATTTCCCCCATTTCCTATCTTGAGAATCCTAGGGAAGTTTCTGGCGGAAATTCCCTTCTCGGAATTCTTCCTGCAGCACACTCATGCTGCGAGTGCTCTGTCCATCTCAGAGGCTAAAGGAAGGAGGGGGAGAAGGGGCGGGGCAGGGGAGAAGGAGAGGAGAGAGAAAAGGAAGAAGACGGTGTTTAAGAAATTATAATTCCACTTTCAGACTGCAGACAATTTTCAAGCTAGTGATGGCAAGGGTTGATGGTTAATTTTGTGTGTCAACCTGGGTAGGCGATGGTGTTCTGTTTGGTTAACTGTCAGATGTTGCTGTGGAAGTGATCTATAGGGTAAATACATCCATGTCTGTCTATCCATAAATACATATGAGTACATACTATTGATTCTGTTTCTCTGGAGCACCCTAGCTGGTACATCAAATATCTTCTCAGGGTATTTTAGATCGCTCAGTGGACTCTTAGGAAAGCTGATGTATGAGTTGTGATCCGGTTGTTTTATATACTTGTTTTATATACTTGGCTGCAACGCCTGAGGGAATTTTAGCCCAATGACTGCTCATGCAAAAAACCAGCACTGTACTCCACACCTGCTCACCAGACTTTGAAAATTTACCCACTTTATTTAATAATTAACTAAAATGCAGCTGAGCACCCACCATAACTGAATAGCAGTGCGTTCCACTTGGGAGCTTGGTTTCAACATCTTCGAGAAAAAGCCGCCTCTGCCCTGCGTACTGCTGCCGATCTCCATTCATTCTTATAGCTCATTTCCACAGTAATATTAACCATCACAGACCCATTTGGCGTTAATCTGAGCTTCCTAGGCAGTTTTAAAGCCAGTCCTCATTATAATTTAGCACCAATTAATGTGCAATTATAACCTGTTACCAAAAATTGAAAGCACATTAGATAGATAGAAATTGTCTTTTCAGGTTTTTAGTCTATGGCTGCTTTTAGGATGTTTTATTGAAAGAAGCAATTACCAAAAGAGGATTCTTAATTGTGAACGAAATGTTTATCTTTCCTTGTTCCCATGTGAATTTCTACATTTCCATAAGGTGGGTAAGAAAGAAGGCTTCCCCGGGCGACACAAATGGTTGGGTTCTTTACGACTTGCCTGAAGGTTGGAGGTTCAAACCCGCCCAGTGAAAGCTGCCTATCAGTCTGCTTGGAAACCATGGGGGGCCTAGTTCTACACTGACGTGTGGGTTTGTCAGCAGGCAGAGGTGACTCAACAACAACTAGCAATGACACCGAGGTTGGAAACCACGAGAAGGGTGTCACAATAGGAAGGATGTAGTTAAACCTAGAAGCCATAGGATCACCACAAGGGTCAACCAGGAACTTGGAGACTCTCTGCTCTCTGTCCAAGGAAGGATGATATCCTGACTGAGGCCAGGCCCCATGTCCCTGCACCCTGAGAGAGTTGGACAGTGTGGCCTGGAGAAAGCAGGAGAAAGCGTAAAAACAAAAATTAGACCACCCTGTTTCCCCATCTCACAATAAGAATCCATCAGTTGCTTTTGTTTTAGATTCTGTGGAGGAAGCATGGTTCTTAACAAAGTGGTAGCCTCTTTATCCCTGTTCTCAATCTGCTTTGATGCTCAAATTATAATCTGCACGTCACCCATCCATTTGACTGGATTCTCATCTAGATTATTTTAAGCCTAGACACATTCATTTTGGTCTTATTTTAACATGGTTGGCTTTCCGTGGAAGAAATAAATGACAAATGTTTTTAATAACTATCATTTGGAGAGCATGGTATCATTTGCAAATCACTTTCTCACATGCTATTAGATTTGACTCAGTCTTTTAAATTAGAGAACCAGTCATCATTATGTCAGGTGCAGGTTAGGAAGCAAAGCCCCAGAAGGTTAATTGACTTGTTGGGATTCCCGCAGCTCCTCGCTGGCTATGAGAGGAGACTGGAGCTGGAATTATCTGTCTCCAAATGCCATGTCCTTGCATCTGTCTGCCCTCTGCTCCTACATCATGTGCAAAAGCAACGTTGTTGAAACTCTCGTGTAAGATTCATGGAATCAAATGGAAAGAGTACATTTTGAAATCTCTCAGCCACGAAGTAGCTCCATCTTTTTGAGCATGGACCTCACTTCTCTGACCTCTGTTTTCTTCTCTAGAAAACAAGTATGTGACTCTGTCTTGCAGAGTGTTGTGAGGGGACATTAAATTAGCTAGCATGTGCAAGTATGTAGCAGAATGCTTGACACCCTGGAGGAGCTGAAAAGGTGACTCCGTGCCGTCAGGTAAAGTGGCGTTCATGCATTAAGTCCATAACCAAAGCCATTTGCCGTCACTGTCTCATAGCGACCCCATATGTATCAGAGAAGAGCTGTGATCCATTAGGTTTGCAATGGCACATGTCTCTGAAAGGCATTCGTTGCCAGGCCTTTTGACAAGGTCGCTCTGAGTGGACTGGAACCACTGACCTTCTGACTTGCACCAAAACAGGTTGCACCAATTAGGTATTACTTGACGTCCCTAAGTAGAACTCTATTGCCAATGTAGGCCCATTTTTGCCTTGAAAACCTGGGTAAAACTGAAGAACTCTTTTATGCTCAGCAGGAAAGTTTCCAGTGCCCCCCCCACACCCCCCGCAATGTCCTCCTCCCCATCACCTTGCCTCTTGTTGGAATGAATGCTTTGATTCTGTGAATTATTCAAGACCCTGGGCAGTCAGGCCATGCAATTTGAACTGGAATTGGTCAGATCCAGGCATCCGTGGTTGTAATGCCCTTCACCTTCTTGCACTTGGCAGATGTTGCCTTTGGTACAAGATGAAGGTTGGTCACTCCCCACCCCCCTGTGTTGAGCCCATTTCTCCAACAGCATGTGCTCACACTTTGTGTCTCTGGGGCACCTGTTGCTGGTGCTCCCAGTATTTCTAACCTTTTCATGATGCTCCTGCACTCTCCTACGTCACTCGCCTACGGTGTCAGGTCAACAAAACTTTTGCAAGGTCTGGGAAGACGCAAGCTTTGTGCCACTGGTCTTATGGCCACATCCACGTTCTTGTGGTGGTCCAAAACAGAACTCACCATCTCCCCAAGGCGTGCCTCCCCCTGGAGTCACCCATCCCACTGAGTAGTGGTTTGGGGGAACCCCTTGAAAGGTACCAATAGAGAGTATGGCCCTGGGAGGTAGTGTTCTAACCCCATGAGTCACTATGCTTTGACTGAGTCTCGAAGGCGACGGGCAGAATGAAGATAAGGGAGTAGAGGAGCCCTCTCTCCTTCGAGTGCAACTCACACATTCTAAAACAAAACACCCTAATTCTTCCCCTTTCTTCTAGGTCTTCCTAGCAGAGTTCAAGAAAACCAACCAGGTTTTTGCAATAAAAGCCTTAAAGAAAGATGTGGTCTTGATGGACGACGATGTGGAGTGTACGATGGTGGAGAAGAGAGTCCTCTCGCTGGCCTGGGAGCATCCGTTTTTAACGCACATGTTTTGTACATTCCAGACCAAGGTATGGCTTCTGCTCAGAGAACCCTGTCCTTCTCCTCTGCCCTCTCCCTTCTCGCCTGTTTGTTGTGGTGCCCTCCTTTGGAGACGTGGGGTATTGTCTGTGTTTAGCTTTCAGGACACTTCCTCCCTTGGCTAAACAAGCTGCATCTCTTCTAAGCGCGAGTGAAATGTTACATAGGAGCGTTCATGCGTGACGGGGATGTGTTTGCCTGTTTGCTTTCTTGGGAGAATTTGGTTTCACATGGCAATCATTAGGTTTAACGAAGCAGTCTGTGACTTGTTTGGCAAAATCTTGGTGCTTGGGGAAGTAAGGGGGAAGTAAGGGTCGTGGCCATGCTCTTCCTGGGGTTTTTTGACGGGTCTACATGTGTTTGAAGAAAACCTATTTTCCTACTCAGTATTGGGAAATAGGTGGACATGCATGTGCGGTGTTAAACACCACTGCCCTCGGTTTGATTCTAACCCATAGGTTTCCGAGACAGTAATCTTTACGGGAGCAGATAGCTTCGTCTCTGAACCACTGACCTTGCAATTAGCAACCCAATGCCCAACCACAACGTCAAGTTTTTCTTGATACCGCAGGCAGAAAGGCAGCCCTGGGTGGTGTGTCTAGTAAGCGTTGGCCTGCTAAGTTCAACGTCATCATTTCAAGTCTACCAGCCACCCCAAGGAGAAATAGGAGGCTTTCGGCTCCCGTGAAGATGTATAGGCTTGGAATTCCATGGCAGTGGGTTGGTTTTGTGGTTTGTGTGTATGTGCGGTCTGACTTTGTATTGATCAGCCCTGCCTCTGCGGGAGGCCCGGGGCAGGAAATGGGCAGCGGGGCTCCACCTGCCATTCGGCACCCTGCTGCTTCACTGATACAATCCTGTCAGTAGACTCTCCTGCTTGGAGACGGGACAATCTCTTGTTTCCTTGAAACAAAACAAAAAAAAGTACTTCTTTTCTTTAAAAAATTATTCAGACTCACTTTAGGAAAATGCCTATAGGCTAAAGCAACACATAATTTATGACCATGCTATTTTGAAGTTTATCCTTCTGGAATGCCCAGCCAGTGAACTTCTAAACAAAAATAGCATTCCATTATACACACCTGAAACTTGGCGACTGTAACACTGATTTCTCTACAGGCCCCCCACATCTGTGCAGACTCTTCTACAACAGGACTCTTCAAAGGGAGAACGTGGTGTTGTCCTAATTAATGTTCTCTTTTTCACCTCTCTGGGTTCTAATATCCACTGCAGTAGCTACACAGAACTCACAAAGTTCATGATTACAGGGTGTATTAAGGAAGTTAACAAGTTGGAATGTCAGTGAGAAATGCTCAGGTTGGAATTGTTTATCAAGACATGTTACACAGTTCTTTCGGGTCTGCTGATAAATGGTGAAAGGGACATACACTCCACTGTTAGCCTCAATTTGAAGGCATGCAGCTCTGTGAGTCAGCAGATCCAGCTCCCTGAATTAAGAGCCCAGAGGCACCCCACTCTGGTAAGCCTCAGCCCAAAGGCACTCAGCCGCCCTTCCTTGGGTCAGCAAGCCCTGCTTCCCTAATTAAGTTCCAAGAGGCACCCCATTCTGCACAAAAGCACTCAGCTTGCCTTGCTCTGTGGCTTAGAAAATCCATCAGTGTGTTCCCTGCTCTGGCTCCTGGATCTACTGATGCTCCTCTGATGTTATATTCTTCTGGATCCAGGAGGTTCACTGAGCAGGGATCTCGAGTCCAGAGGATGCTCTCCACTTCTGGATCTTGCTGGTAATGAGATCCCGCCTCCTACTTCTCAGTGGGCTCATTTGATGTGCAGTAGGGTGGCACTCCAGGAAATCCTGTTCACAGTTACTCACAGGTCAATTTTCCCCGAGTTTCTTATCAGACCCATGCAGGGAAAGGTTGTTGGGTGGGAGTTAAAGACTTTGGCTAGAAGACCACGTTAAATAATTCACTGTCCCTGAAAACATATCAATAACTTTTTTTCTGGTTAAAAATCACACTGAAAGGAGGAGCGCCCTTGTAAATGAATCTTTGTGCCCAAGAATTATTTTTATCTCTCCATTTTCTGCTCTCCTCCACTGTATCCCCACTGTAGGTAACCTAGAATAATAAGCCATACCCATGTGGGTTCATATAGTCAAAGATCAAAGAGTGTCAAGAGTGGGTCTCCCCCACACACACGCCTTTACTATTTCATGTCTTGAAGATAATATAGTATGGTACCTTTGTATGAGCAGTTGAATTCTCTAAGCCCTAAAACCCTCTGGCCATAAAACAAGACTCGTGGTTGTGAGGCTTTGTAAATCTTTCCAGGTCCAGATACCTTCAACTTTCTTTCTTGGACCAACTAGTGGGCTTGAACCACCTAACTTTCCGTTAGCATTCCAATGCTTACCCAACAGCACCACCGGGGCTCATGGCTTTGGCTGTGCAATAAATATATAGGGGAGCTATAAGAATCAGAAAAAGTTGACAGCAAATAGATCTTTCATCATTGCATCCCCCGAACCAGTAGATTCTCAGCAGATGTTTAATGAACAGATGGATGGATGGATGGATGGATGGATGGATGGAGGCACTTACTTAAAATTAAGAGAAACCAGACCATGAAAAAGCACTGTGCATCCATTGTATTCAAAGCATGATGGAGTGTACAAAAATAGATAATACAATTCTTGACCTAATAAAAGGGTCAAGACTGATAGTTCTAAGCAGTAAGTGATGCTAAATTGTAAGTTGAATGGGGAGGGAAGAGACAGGAGACCTTGGGCCTCAGAGGGGTGGTGGGACCTTGTGAGGAACACATGAAGGAAAGAAGGGGTCGTGATAAGCTATTTAGGAGAAAATGGGCTTAAAGTGCAGCCGGGAGGCATTTGGAATTCTGATCACGAGCATTAGAGAGGTTGTCTCCACTGGTCTGGGATGGTGTGGATGACTTAGCAAAAGGCAGAGTAGGGAGCTCTGCTGCCTCTCCCTATCTACAGTCACGGCAGGTAATTGTGCTCACGATTTTCTTCCTGGACTATTGTCAGGCTTGTATCAAAATGCCAAACGCACCCCAGACCCAGCTTCGCAGGCCATTTACGGAATCAGACTTGACTTGGCACCTCTTCCTACTTTTTTGGTTTGAAAGGCATTCTGGACTATATTATGGGGAGGCCTCTTATGAATTCTACTTTGAAGAAAGTAGTTATGTTCTCTTTATTCCCTTCTTTTCGTTGTCCGCCAGCCCCTCAGACAGAGCTCTTTTCTTCTTATACGCTCTTTCTGCTCTATGATTTACAATACTTGAGAAGGAAAGGCTTCCTCCACATTTAAGCCATGAGGGGGACAACGTGGAAGAGACGGAGCATAGCATATGGCAATAGGATGATTTTCAGTACTGAAAATTCAAGGAATTGAGATCATTTTAAAAGATATGGTAGTGTGTGTGTATGTATAAAGCTTGCACTACACATTCTCAAGGACCCTGAGTTATTTTTCAAGTGCATTTATTATTCAAACCTTGCATATCTAAGCAACTAAATGAATAACGCTGGAGAATGTAAACAGCACCAACTTAAAGGAATGACTGAATGATGATTTTCTTTGGGGACATGTTGGGAATGGTCTCCTTGAAGGGCTAGGTGTCTGACACCTTAAGACGTGGCTGATGACAATCAAGTTGGCCTAACTCATGGTGAGCCTATGCGCAATAAAAGCAAACACTGCCTGCCCTGTGCCGTCTCTGGAGTAGGTAGCTATTGGGATCCAGAGGATTTCCATGGGCTGATTTTCAAAAGTAGATCACCTAGCCTTATTTTCAGTATGCATTAAGACAGGCAATGAAGTAAATTAATAACTTTTCTAGGGAATTGTTCATTCCTAGAGAAAGTCGTTTGTTTCCTTTCTTCCGATAAAGAGCTTCTCTCTTGAATAAAAGGTTATTCAGAATTAATTTTTATTCAGAATATTTTGTGGTCATGTGATTCACTTGTTTCTTTTAAGGAGCATGGGGATTCAATCGTGAAAAGCTTTTTTTCTCCCAATAAATTTTAGTTTTCTTGTAGTTGTTGCAAGTGTTCACAGGAGAACATAGACCAATTCAGCAATTTTTCTAGATCATGAACAGTTTTGAGGTTTTTCATCTGATGGGTATATGACCTCTTCAAGTATGGAAATGGCAATACCATTCAGGAGGCTGCACAGATGCAAAGATCTATGGACTTTAGATCCGAAAGAAGTCTGCTTTCAGCTCTCTACCACTCATTAGCAAGGCTCTGGGGTCTCCTTGCTCCTCTGCACAAAAGATAGGGTAAGAATAACGCTGCAGAGTGTCTGTGGAGGTCACCAGTCACCCGGCGTGAAAGTGATGCTTTGGATCTAGATATGCAAAAATATCAGTTGAATGTGAACCTGAATCTAAATGAGGCTCGGAGGGAAAGAATCTTTGAAATTAATTTTCTCTGTGCTAGATCAAGGTGACTTTGTACATCAGTCAAGCTGTGACACTGAATTATTGGCATCAGAGTCTAGCGCATGTCAGCATCATGAAAGCTTGTGGTTGTTTTAACAGAAGGAAAGGATGATGCCTGATTCTTTACTTTTTACTAACAATTCTTTCCTTATTATTTTTGTTTGTTTGCTTGTACAAGGCGGCTTCAGAAAGTTTGGAATTTGAAGATAGAATGGTTTGACCAACATTTTGGAACCTCTTGTGTCATTTCTGTGGTTGATGGAGTTGCCATCAGGCCGGTCCCCACTCATGGCACCGTCCTGTGTGTAGGACAGACTGGCTCCCTGCAGGTTCCAAGGTTGTGACTCTGCAGAAGCAGATCGCTAGGCCTGTCTCTGGGAGTTGCCTCTGGGTGGGTTCTGATAGCCAACCTTTCAGGCAGTAGTCTAATGCCTTGCCAGTTGCTTCGTCAGAGGATTCCACACACGTGTCTGCAAGGCAGCTTGAAATGGCACAGTCCCATCTCAATACATATGTGACTTTTTCCTTACTGGATTTTCACACTATATGCCTA